GAAAAACCAGTTTCGAGTCATTCGAGTAAAGTTCGATTTTTAAGTGTGGACTGGTGCTCGCAATACGGACGCGAGCTCAAATCTGATGAATGTTTCCCATGCAGTTCTTACGGTGTGAAGTAGTGAATTTACTCTCTTGGAAAATTTCAACGAGTATCCGCGCCGGGTCATGTACACGTGGTCATTGTAACTCTATCACTGTTCTTTTCAGTAATGCCGTGGCTGGAGAAAGTGCTATTGATCGGTTTGCTTGTGGTATTGGTGGAAAACATATGCTCCCTCATATTATAGCAACTGTTCCACAGATGCTCCAAAATGGTGGGTTGATTATGGTTTAAATGAAATTGAAAAGAAGTTCATGGTATTTAACAGTGTTTGAAATAATGCCCGGATAGGCGCCGGCCACGTTGTCCGGTCGAAAACATTTTTGCTCGGACACGACCCATTTCTAGCCGGTCAAATATATTGGCGCTCATGAAGAATAATTAGCATGCGTACTAGTTTGACAGAAATACATTGATATCGCGGAAAATCGCGACTTTTAAAACCTGTCAAGTTACTCTGAGTTACTTTTGTATTTTTTTGGCAACATGAATGTGCATTATATGCGCTTTGGTAAGAAAATTAAATTTTTGGAAAATTCTATATTCTAATCATGTATTCTACATGAATTGCTGAAAATTAAATTTCCTTTTAATTAAAGCACACGATTGACCGGACAACATGATTTGTTCGGTCAATTTCGACCCGACATGCAATGTCCGTTGACTGCCCTGTATTTGCAGACCCTGTATTAAATCCGTAAGTAGCTAGTCTTAATGTGGGTAATGTAATATGAACACGTCTTGTGCTTGGATTTCTGAAACAGAAGTAATAAGTGTTGAGATTCATTCCATATAGAAATATGATTTTCTTCAATCGATTCAATTGGTCATATTTATTGTTTCGATTCGATTCAATCCGCCCATATTTATTGTCTTTCGTTGTCATAATCTACCAATCACAAAGCTTGTTCATATACTGTAGGTAGGTACAAACCGACCCTATAAATTATTTATCATTGACATCTCTTTAAAAAACTGCGCATTTAACTATGAAGTACCAAAATGTTTTGAATAATATTTTTCAGAGGACTGGCGATACCGTCATGCTGGGCTCATGGCGATTTCTGCAGTGGGTGAAGGTTGTCACAAACAAATGTTAAATATGTTACAAAATCTTGTTGATAGTATTTTACCTTTCTTAACTGATCAACATCCTCGGGTCAGATATGCAGCCTGCAATGCACTAGGTCAGCTCTCTACTGACTTTGCTGAGGGTTTCCAACAAAAGTTTCATGCAAAGGTAAGACTCCCCTTTAAAATTTCAGGACACGTTTTGCCATTCCAAGCACAATATACGCCACGAATAATATGAAACCCCGTGCGAACTAGGAAATATTCTTGCGGTAACAATAATTCCTACATGTAAACGCGTTTCCACAATCTGGGCAATTAGGAATCACTGTTCCCGAGACAATATTTCCATGATAGCCAGGGCTTTAATTCAGAACGTGCCACGAATATTATCGAGTTGGCGATTGCTCTGGTTCTTGCAGTGCTAAGAAACAATAACTTATGTTATTAACTAATTATGTTAGCAACAACTTATGGATGGAAGCGCAGACAAGATTTAACCCTCGTCACAGTGCTGTGAGGGCTTGTCGCATTGAGGCGACTTACCCAGCAAATCGACTCACTAGCTCGCTTTGAGGAAAATAAAGTGCTAATTTTAATTACTGTCTTCGTAAATATCTTAATCAACAACTTATAATCGACATCTAATTTAGGGGCCTTCAAGGGTTTCTTCTAGGTCCCTCGCCCTTAATTTTTACTTATCTGTAAATATATCGTAATTCTATATTTATGGGCAAATTAATAAATACTACACAACAATAATTTTGCCATTGTAGCCATGCATATAAGCACTAAACGTAAAGACTAATAAGTTTCTGTGATAGTCAGTATCTCGTTTTCGTCATATACTGAACTTATATATTTGACGAAAGTTCGCCCAAGAGTGGATATTTCAACCCAGGTAAATTTTGTCGTATCGCGTCTGTATATTGAAATAAGATTTCATCATTCTGCCATGGCTGAAATTTTAGCCCGGTGGATGAAACTCAGCAGGGTGGATGAATAATTGGTGTAATCAACCCTTGACACCTTGTAGCCTGTTTTCCACTTCGTCCGTATCGTAATGTACAGCAGCATTTCCATTAGTTCCATCCTGAGTTAAAACAGTTACTACCCCAGTGCTCAGGAAACAAAGAAATACGCTACGCTTGAAGTGGAAAATGGCGGTGTAAGGCGTTATGACGTTTATTTTGTAACTTTACTTGTAGGTTATCCCAGGTCTCCTTCACGTGCTCGATGATACAGAGAACCCTCGTGTCCAGGCCCATGCCGGTGCTGCTCTGGTGAATTTCTGTGAAGAATGCCCTAAACCTATCTTACTCCTCTATCTCGACAACACACTACGTAAACTAGAAGTCGTTCTTCGAGCTAAACTGGAAGATGTAAGTATGTAATGGAAATTCATTGACAAATCGGACTGTCCGTGCTATGAAAGCGGCGGATTGATAGAGATACAACTACCTGAATACTACAAGGAAGAAGAAGTTGTTGTAATGTTCACGTGGTTGTATCCCTATCAATCCGCTTTCTTGTTATTGGCACTACCTCCACTGGCACAGACTGTTCAAGAGTATGTCTGTTTATGCATGTACATCACTCGCGCAAGACTAACTTTATTTTGTACTTAGTCTCAAACTGATCTCCTTTAATTTGGTGGCCTAATGATATTACAAGACAAAACCGGAGTGACCGGGAAATTTTTGTTCCGGGCGGAAAATTATTATAATGAAAATAAGAGACCATGCACCCTAATGCTTTCAATAGAGCCATACATATATATATATATATATATATATATATATATATATATATATATATATATATATATATATATATATATATATATATATATATATATATATATATATATATATATATATATATATATATATATATATAAAAGAAAGAATATATATAAGAAAATATATAAAAGTTTTATAAAAAACAGTAGAGTCAGAATTAATAACAAGGGCAACGAAACGTCACTTTTAATAAAACGTTTATTTGTGTTGTGGTACCTGTAGGTATGGCTGTTTTTATTAGAGTAATTAGAGTCAAATTTTATAAGTTTTATAGAGTCAAACTGGTAGCACTCTCTTCGCATACAGCTTAGCTGAAGTTGCATCAAAAACAGCATATATAGTGAGAATCCAACTGTCGTTCGACAGGTTAAGGCGCATAAAAACCTATTTGGAAACACACACGAATTATTTGTATTTCTGTAGTGAAAAATGATCAACTGGAGGACACTGAGGATACCTCAACCAACAAATGATGTCACTATATATATATCATGCATAAATTCTACAATGAGCTAATTACCCATTCAGTTTACTCTGCCTGGGAAAGACAGAGTTAATTTCTCATTAAATGTCATCCAAATTGAACCAAAATCTAATTGCTTTGTCCTTGGACTATTTCTAGTAGCCCCACAAATTATACAGTAATACATGTACGTTTGATATTTTTTAAAATTATCGTGCTGACAGAAAAACGCACAAACATACACACAGGCATGCATGGTGAAAACATAACCGCGTGGCGGAGGTCGGGGATGGATTTACTGGGGGGTGCCGGGGATGTGCCCCCCTCCCTAGGCTTGACCAGGGGGGTGCTATTTTTCATGATAAAGCAAAAAAATATTAGAGACAAAATGAGATACAGTAATTTGTAATAACATGATGGATAAGCGAACTGTGAACAACAATTACAATTCAAATACAGTAGTCAAGCAAGACTTTGCACTCATGGGCGGGCGGCGCACATGACCGACACAACTCGGCACCAGAGCTAGCAGAGCAGCCCCCCCCCCCCCC